ATACTGGGAGGGGTCGGGGGGGGACTGGGAGGGACTGGGAGGGGGTTTGGGGCTGGTGGGAGGGAGTTAAAGGGTTAAAAATGGGGAAAAAATGGGGAAAATGGGGATTTTTTTATACTGGTTTGTACTGGTTTGTACTGGTTTGGGGTTTGGGGTTACTGGTTTGTACTGGGAGGGGACTGGGGGTTACTGGTTTATACTGGGAGGGACTGGGAGGGGGTTTGGGGTGGTGAGAGGGAGTTAAAGGGTTAAAAATGGGGGAAAATGGGGAAAATGGGGATTTGGGGTTACTGGTTTATACTGGTTTGGGGTTTGGGGTTACTGGTTTATACTGGTTTATACTGGGAGGGGACTGGGAGGGACTGGGAGGGGATTTGGGGCTGGTGGGAGGGAGTTAAAGGGTTAAAAATGGGGAAAAAATGGGGAAAATTGGGGAAAATGGGGATTTTTTTATACTGGTTTGTACTGGTTTGGGTTTTGGGGTTACTGGTTTGTACTGGGAGGGGACTGGGGGTTACTGGTTTATACTGGTTTATACTGGGAGGGGGTTTAGGGGTGGTGGGAGGGAGTTAAAGGGTTAAAAATGGGGAAAAAATGGGGAAAATTTGGGAAAATGGGGATTTTTTATACTGGTTTATACTGGTTTGGACTGGTTTGGGGTCGGGGGTTACTGGTTTATACTGGGAGGGAACTGGGATGAACTGGGAGATCGAAAACTGCAATTCTTAGATTCAAAAAATTGAATTTTTAGCCCAAAAAATCCAATTTTTGCCCAAAAAAACCCCGAATTTTTGGCCAAAAAAATCGAATTTTTGGCCAAAAAATGCTGATTTTTTTTTCTGAGAAAAATTGGATTTTTTGGGGGGGAAAAAGGGAATTTTGGGATTTTCAAGAAAATTTTGGTGGTTTTTTAGGGAGGAAAAAAAAGGAATTTTGGAGGAAAAATGGGAATTTTTGGTTAAAGTTGGATTTTTTAGGGTAAAAAACCAGAGATTTTGGGAAAAAAAGGGAATTTTGGAGGAAAAACGGGAATTTTTGGTTAAAATTGGATTTTTTAAGGTAAAAAACCAGAAATTTTGGGGAAAGAAATGGAATTTTTGGGAAAAAAAAAGGAATTTTTATTTTCATAGGAAAATTTTTGGGATTCTCCAGTGGATTTATGGAGCGAAAAAATGCAAATTTTGGGTGGAAAAGAGTCGAATTTTTGGTCAAAAAAATATCTTTTTTGGTCAAAAAACTCCAATTTTTTTGAGGAAAAAAAGGGAATTTTTTTGGAAAAAAAATTATGTTCCTAAGAAAAATGTTG